TATTATTATTATTATTATTATTATTATTATTATTATTATTATTATTAGTATTATTAGTATTAGTATTATTAGTATTATTATTATTATTATTATTATTATTATTATTATTATTATTATTATTATTATTATCTGATGCTAAGGAGTTCTGCTCCCCCTCCCCACCTGAAAAGAAATCTCTTCCAAAGGCAAAGCATAAGCAGAGGAGAGGAGAGGCGTTTTCGTTTCCGTTTCACAGCACCAAGCAGCTTTAGTATAGAACAGTTGAGCTAAGCCATGCCCAGGCTCCTTGCTGTCTCCTTGCTCACACAGCAAATACTCTTTCAGTTTCCAAACAGCCCTCAACTCTCTCAGATGCTGACAGGATTCTAGCCAGATGAATACCGATGGATGCTGGGAGACAGAGGCAGAATTTCTCCCCCCCTCTTATTTTCCTCCCCAAAAACGAAGCCCCACCACATAGTTTCGTAGCGAAGCACGGGGATCGAGCTAGTAAGAATAGAAAATAGAACAGAACACAATTTAGAATAGAATAGAATAAAAAATATAGAATTAGAATAGAATAAAAAATATAGAATTAGAATAGAATAGAATAGAATAGGAGTTGGAAGGGACCTTGGAGGTCTTCTAGTCCAACCCCTGCTTAGGCAGGAAACCCTATACCATTTTCAGACAAACGGTTCTCCAATCTCTTCTTAAAAACCTCCAATCCCTTCTTTAAAAAAAAAAAATGCTTCTTTAATCCCCCCCCCCCCGCCCCCACAGCTAGTTTCTGAAAAACCAAGGAACGATACCATGATAACCGATTTAGCCAGTAACGTGTTTTGCTTTGAAGGCCAGAAACACGTACGTACAAAAAAGATGCAAACATACACACCAACTAGGGTTTGGGTTTTTGAGTGGTGACACCTAGTATTTTTTGGTTAATGATTTGCCAGGGTTTGGCTAATCCTTATCCCTGCCCGACTGGCTACTTTGGGGCTGCTCATTCACCTTCTCTTGGTCCTGCTGATGTTGGGAGCGGCGTCCAGAACAAGCCAGGATAGCCGTTCACACCGACACACTACACCCACCCACACAGTCATCTGGGGTATTTGCCGCCTTTGCTCGCTTGCAAAACCAGGTGCCCGGGCCTTAGGTGGGTTTGCAGAATGAATCCGATATTTATAGCACGCTTCCTCATTCTGATGTCACAACCGCACCAGGCTGGGTCCAAGATCGCCCTAAACCCTGAATGTTGGCTAGTCTCCGATCCAGCTGCTGGCCTCGATTGCGTGCAAGGTTTTCGACAGGAGTTGCGTTTGGAGGTGCTTCAAAAGGCACAAAAGCTTATTTTCTCTCATGCATCCCTAGGCCTGCGCCTGTTTTTTTTTAAAGAGAATTGACAGTTGGAAGGGACCTTAGAGGTCTTCTAGTCCCACCCCCTGCTTAATCAGGAAACCTTATACAGGTAGTTCTTGACTTACAGCCATAATGGAGCCCAAAATTTTGGTTGTTCAGGGAGACGTTTGTTCAGTGAGTTTGCCCTATTTTATGCCCTTCCGTGCCAGAGTTGTTAAGTGAATCAGTGCAGTTCTTAAATTAGTAACCCGGTTGTTAAGTGAATCTGGCTTCCCCATTGACTTTGCTTGTCAGGAGATTACATGACTCCAGGACACTGCAACGGTCCTAATTATGAGTCAGTTGCCAAGAATGTTGATCCCATGACCACAGGGGTGCTACGAAGGTCGTAACTGTGAAACACAGTCATACGTCGCTTTCCTTTCGGCGCCGTTGCAACTTTGGGTGGTCACTGAGTGAACTGTTAAGGATGACCTGCAAATGGTTCAGACAAATGGTGGTCCAATCTCTTCTTAAAAACTTCCAGTTCTGGTGGCAAGTCGTTCCACTGGTGAATTCTTCTCACTGTTAGGAAAAATTCCTCCTTCGTTCTAGGCTGTTTCCCTCCTTGGTAGAAGTAGAAGTAGAACTAGAAATAATAGAAATAGAAATAATAGAAATAGAACAACAGAGCTGGAAGGGACCTTGGAGGTCTTCTAGTCCACCCCCCTGCCCAGGCAGGAAACCCTATACCATTCTAGACAAATGGCTTGGTTGCTCTTCTCTGCACTCTTTCCAGAGTCTTTTTTTCATCGTGTCTTGTTCTTCTTCTTTTTTTTCCCCTGGCGTTTCGTCAACGTTCATTTGCGCCGAATGCTGTTAAGGGTGGCACGGAGAGCCGCCCAACGGAGCAAGGCCCACATTTTCCGAGCCCCCAAATTTCATCTCGCTAACTTGACAAGACGGTTCTTCTGTGAGTTTTGCTTCAGTTGCGCACCCTTTCTCCCCCACGGTCATTAAGTGAAGCACGTTGCTCGGTCGTTAACCGAATCGGGCTTCCCCATTGGCTTGGCTTGTGGGAAGGGGAAGGGACTCTGCCACTGTCATAAATGACAGGTGACACCTGAAGGTTACAGTAAAGAAAAAAACATACTTAATCATACATGTCTTAACAGCAGCTAGAATTGTATTTGCTCAGAATTGGAAAAGTGACAAGATACCGACAGAGGGGAAAATAATGGAAAAAAAATATTTGAACGTGCAGAAATGAATAGATTAACATTAGAAGTTAAAGGAGAATCTGAATATTACATGGAATGGGCCTTGTTTATCAATGGCTAGAAAATAAAACAAAATTAAAGTGGACTAGATGTAATTATAAAGCATTAAGAGAAGCTTTTGAAATAGATGTATTGGATATTACTTATATGGGAATGTGCTGTTGTTATATTGATGAGTATTATTATTAATTGTAAGCACGTGAAATATGTACCTAATCGACTTGATTGAAATGGAATGGATTTATTATATGTAAAAAAAATTTTTTTTTAAAGTAAATAAATTACAGGTAACAACAGTTCACTTAGTGGCCATTCGAAGGCCCTGAAAAAAGTGTCCGTTTATGACTGTTTTTTCACAT